GGGGGGGGGGGGGGAAGGCGCCTTGGTCGGCAAGTTGCGCAGCCGCGTGATGGCGTGGAAGACGAGGGTGGTGCAGTAGGGCAGCGCGACGGGCACCCGCTCGCCCTCTGCGGCGCGGGACAGCGCGTTGAGTGCGTGCTCCACGTCTCCGGTCGTGGCGACCTCGGGCGTGATGAGCAGGAAGAGCGACGGCCTGTAGGACGGCGGGGTGGTGGGGTGGTGGGGGTTGGGGTTTGGGGGCGGCCCACCACGGCGAGGGCCGATGCGAGGGGTGGAGCGGCGTGGGGGCGCGCCTGTCGCGCCCGAGCCGCTCCGAGAGGGCGAGGTCGCCCAGCCGGAGGAAGAACTCGGCCGAGCCGCGCTTGCGGGAGCGGTCGAGCGACACCTGACCGCAGGCATGCAGAGGCGGCAATGGGCGCGGGCGGGCGTCCTGCGGGTGGGGACGGGGGCGAAGCGGCCGCCTCCGCCCTGTGTGCTGGCGCTGGGGGAGAAGGGGAGGGAGGGGTGGAATACGGGGGTGCGTGCCGAACCTCGACTGGCGTGGCGGCTTGCAGCGCCGCTCGGCTCTCGCGGCGCGGCCTGCCCGCGGCGTATGAAAAGAGGAGCGGCGACGAGCCCGACTGGACCCTCTCCCGCTCCTGGCGAGGGACGGAGCCGCGCGCGGGTCGGCGAGAGGAGGGAGGATGGGCTGGTGTGTAGGGCGGGTGGAGTCTGCGAGGTCGAGAGGCGCACCCCGAGTGCGAGCGACTCGAGAGCGGGCCGGTTAGTCGGAGCCACCATCAGCGCCGCCTTGAGCTGCATGCCCTGCCGGAGACGCTTGCCAGCCGTCGCCTCGACTTGCACGCGGATGGCAAAGGAGCTCTGGTTGGAGAGGACGCGCTGCTTGTCGCCCGTCCGCTTGTCCACGTCCATCCGGTGCCACTCCTGTGCGACCACCCGCAGCTGAATCCCCGCCCACCTGCCGCTGCGCGATGTCTTCGTCCCCGGGCTCGCGTAGTCCGGCGTCAAAAGGTCGAGCAGGCTGAGCGCCGCCGCCTGGTCGGACGAGCCGCCCGGTCCTCCGCCGGCTTGTTCCGGCTCAGGCGGCGGCGGCGGCGGCCTCGGGACGGCGACAGGGACGAATGATCGCCCCTCGAAGACGTACTTGGCTGTGAGAGGACCTGGTCTCGGACACGTCGGGCGGTCGGGCCCGAGCGTCTCTCCGCAGACCAGCATAGCTGCCTCTGCTTCTGCCACTGGCCACTGGCCGCGACCCTTGTTTGAGCTCACCCACCTGCAGTCAAGAAACCGGCTCCGCTCTACAATGTATTGCCAAATCGCCAAATCGCGAAGCCTTATGCTGTCCGTTTTCTTTCTTTCTTTCTGCGACTTTCGAGCGCAGTGCGTGCGCCCCACACGTCACGCGAGCGCAGGAGAGTTTGCGGCAGAGCAGTACCGTGTACTAGCCGGAGGCATCGCGCCGAAAACCCCAAACACAAACAATCTCTCTCTCTAAAAACCCCATTCCGCCCCAACAGAGGATGCAGGAGGCAGACAGATGGCCAATCAATAGCGACGATCGTTACAAAATGTAGCGTTACCGGGTGGTTAACGGGAACGAGCCGTGCGTGCAAGCCTTCAGCTGGTGCCAAGACATCCGTATAACGCACCGGCCCTCAGCGGAGCTGGGAATAGGACCGCCGCAAGCGGCGTGGCGTGGAGCGGTTGAGCATCCCTCCGGGGGCCCCTCTGCGCCGGGGGGGAGGCGTTGTTGGAGGCTAGGACGCAAGCGTCCGTCGCCCTTTTCAAACTCGGGGCCCACTCCGCTACGCTCCGACCCGAATTTGGAGGGCCTAAAAGTTTAAGGTGTTGCTGCGCAAAAGGGGTCGGACACAGGGCGCAGCTCATGCTAAGAGCTAGAAGGGGAGCTAGAGAGAACGACTACCCTGTCCCGTTATTGCGTACACCAACACCACAAAAGCTCAAACAAAAGCTCAAACAATTACGTGTGAGTGTTAGAGTTGTTTGGTATTGCTAAAAATCTCTCTCTCAAAAGCTCTCTCTCTCCTGTCCTCACTCAGTCAGAGGGGCGCAGGGGGGTCACAACTACCGAGTCCCCGACTAGCTGCCACGTTGCCGAGCGCAGCCACCTGCGGACCTGGCCAGCCTGTTCCTGGCTCGAGCCCAGCCTTCTCCTCCGCTGCCGCCAGCCTCGCAGTCCCGCCAGCCAGCCATCACGCTGCAGAGCCTGCGTAGACGCCACAGACGCCAATTCTGCAGCCCACAGCCCTGGCAACTGAGGGCCAGCAGTATACGACGACGACGACATCTCACACCCCGCGCTGGCCAGCGCCATCAGCCCCTCACGGCCCCGGCCCAACCTCCCTTCGCCTTCCTCATCGGGCTCGCCGCTTTGCAATCGCTTCCCGGCCCGCCTCCATTGGCCAGCAAGGTCGGCGATTCAATGGCCGACACCGTCCTCTCGCTCCTCTTCGAGGACATCCATTCCTCGCTCGCAGCGGCGATCGATGCTGTCGTCAGCGATCACGGCGTCCCCGGCTCAAAGGAGAGCCCCGCGGCGGTCGCGGCGTGGCAGGAGTTCCCACGCTCGTCGCCGAGCTTCCGCATGCAAACCGAGCGGCTGAGCAGAGTGGCTGGCAGCCTCGACTTTCAGCAGGGCGCGATCGGTCTGCTCCTGCGCCTCATGCCGCCCTCCGGCGACCTTGAGGCGGGCGAGGTGCCATTTGGCTTCCAGAGCCTTCTTTCGAGGCTGAATTGTGTGGAGTCGTGCCTCGGCGGCGTCCCGACGGGGCGCAAGGCGGCCGCGCTGCAAGCGAGGGGCGAAGGGCGGCTCGCCGAGTTGGTCTTCACCGTGGTCCCCCTCGCAGTGGCTGACATCCTCGCTTGCATCCTCGGCGAGAGGCCAGAGGGCAGCACCGACCGTATCCCGCTCCCTCCCTCCTCGGAGGCAGCCCTGTTGCAGCTGGCGTTTCGCGGCCTATGCTCCTCGGGCGGCCAGCAGCAGCTGCACCCGTCGCTCCACGAGGCACTCGCTCGCCGCGCAGTGCTCTCGTGGCGGGAGGTGATCCGCCATCTCTCCACCTCATCCTTCGAAACCGCCTGCGCCGAGCTCAACAAGCAGCTCCACGCCGACTCGAGCGCCGACGAGGCGATGGCTTACCTCGTCGGCTGCCAGCGCATCTCCCTGCCGAAGGACCCGTGCTCGCCCATGGTGCAGCCCTTCTTCCAGCTCCTCGCGCGGCTCGCCGCGCAAAGCCGCAGGCCCTTCAACACGGCCGCGTTTCGGCGTTGCCTGCTCTGGAACCTCGAGGGCGCGGTGCAGCAGGTGCGGGGGCAGGTCGAGGGCGACGCGTCGATGCTACAGACGTGGGTTGCGCTCTACCTCGACTGCCTCGAGCAGGGCAGCGAGCTTGCCGGGCTGGCGCTCCCCGCGGCCGCGCTGCTCGTGTCCCGCGGGCCTGCCGCGATGTGGTTCTGCCACATGGACGTCGGCAAGGAGTCCAAGAAGGTGGCGAAGGGCTTGCTCGGGGGCAAGAAGGTTGGCCTGCTGAGGCTGTGCCTCACCGACCTGGCCTACGAGGAGCGGACCTCGCGGCCGGCGCTCTGCGCCGTGCTGCGGCTCCTCGCGGGGGGGGCCCAGCTGCCCGCCTCGGCGGTCGCCCCCGCAACCGACGGCGAGTGGTGGCGGGCGCCCACGCCCGACGAGGAGGCCGGGCAGATGCCGCTCATGACTTCGCGCATGCCTCACGAGAGCGATGAGTCCACCGCTGCGATGAACGAGCGGCTCCGCTTTGTGGCCGAGAAGCTCTTTTGGCGCAAGTCGACCGGCAGGCATGTGCGGCTGCCCAAGCTGCTCGAGAACGGCGACGTCGTCGTGCTCATCGTCGGGCAGATCGCGGTGCACTCGCCCACCGTCGCGATGGACACGGTCGAGCGCCTCCTCGCCGAGGGAAGGGATGCCGAGTACCAGCTTCTCGGCGTCTGCGCGCTGCGCCGCCTCCTCTCGTACAGCCTCCTCTCGGGGCAGCTCGAGGCGCAGGCGGCGCGCCTCCTCTCCATCATCGGCGCCTGCGAGGCGGCGGTCGGCGCAGAGAAGCGCGGGCTAGCGCTGGCGCCGCTCGCCCCCGCGGAGCCCGAGCACCCTGACGCAGTGAAGCGGCTCCTCCGCTCTGCCGGCTCGCGCAAGGACAGGGAGGTGGCCCTTCGACTGGCGACGTACCGGGAGGCGGTGGCCTGCGTACCGCTCGTGCTACCCCCGCAGTGCCTGCAGGACCGCTCCTTCTTCGGACAGCTGCTCATCCACTCCGACCACGACCTCGCCACCGCCACCTCTGTCGCGCTGCAGCAGCTCATGGCGGACGCGGCCTGGCGGCGGACAGCGGTGCTCTGCACGGCCAAGCTGCTCGAGCGCGCGGTGGAGGCGCCGGGCGGCTCGCGCGCTCTGCTCTGCAGCAAAGAGCACCATGGCGTGGCGCTGCAGGGCGTCGAGGCGCAGCTGCTCACGCTCGCCCTCCATCTCAAGAAGGGGCTTCACCTGTGGGCCGCCTCCATCGCGTCCGAGCCGTGGCCGCTCGAGTCGCTGCAAGAGGAGGCGGAGGGGACTGCCGTCGCCCGGCTTGCCAAGAGGCTGGCCGAGGCGGACGCGGCTGCCGCGTCCCTGCTTCTGCACCCGTCTGTCGCGCTTCGGGCCGAAGGTCTCGCGCTTCTCGAGGCCATCGCCGCCCTCCACTCGGCACACGAGGAGGCGTACCGGAGGGCGCTGGCCGGCAGGCTCGCCGCCGTCGAGTCGGCGACGCGCAAGCACCGCGCCGCTGGCGACAATCGCGAGGCGGAGGCGGGTCAGCGCGAGGAGGACGAGCTCCGAGGGCGGATCGACCGCCAAGAGGCGTCGGAACCCTTCCTGATCCACATCCTCGATCGTGCGAGGCGTCGATTGTGCGCCGGGCGATCCGGCGAGACCTGACCGAGGCAGCGCACGGCGTGCTCACCAAGGTGCCGTCGCAGGCGTCCATCGACCAAATGCAGATCCCGCCGCTGCGCAAGCTGCTCATGCTCCCTCCGGCCTCGCTCGGGATCGGCTCGCAGTTCATGTTTGTCGTTGCAGAGATTGCGAGCAGCCTCCTTCGGCAGGGCTGCACTCTCCGCGCGGCGCGGCTTCGCAGCATCCTCGCCGCGGCACTCGGCAAGATGCCTGCCTCCAAGGACCTTGCAGCCTTTGTTGCGGATGGCAGCGCGGACTTGGGTGTGCTGTGGCGCAACCACTACGCGGCGCTCACCATCGAGAAGGGACCTCGCCCCCCCCCCCTCTCTGAGCTCACCAGCCCTTGCCTACCTCCATAGGCGCTCTTTGCGCTCTGTGGCGCGTGCAAGCCGATGCAGGTCGCGGCGGTCGAGAAGAAACCAGCGCCGCCACCGCCGCCGCCGGCACAGTCACCACCGCTCCACACGCCTTCGCCCTTCTTCCCGCCCCCTCCGCCGCTCCTCGGCGGCGCCGCCCAGCCGGCGCCCAAGGTTGTCCCGCCGCCAGCAATCCTTGGCGCACCGCCGCCCGCACTCGGCGCACCGCCGGTGCTCAGCCCGCCGCCGACTCTCGGCGCGCCGCCGCCGCCACCGAGACTCGGTGCGCCGACGCCCGCGCTCGGCACGCCCACGCTCTTGAGCATGCCCGACCTCGGCGGCGGCGGCGGCGGCGCTGATGCGGACGACAACCCTGTCCAGCAAAAGGCCGCGGCCGCGCAGGGCTTAGTCGGCTGGGATGCCTACTCCCCTCGCTCCGTCGAGCACCTCCCCCCGCCTCTGCGCAGTGGCGCTTCTCGCCTCGCTCCGCCGCCCCTCGCCAGCGATGCCAGCGATGATGCTGGCGACGTGGTCCCGCCACCCCCTGTCCTCTTCCCGGGAGCAGGCGGGCGCATGGACCTGCCGCCTCCTCCTCTGCTCGGCGGCCTCGCCGCGGGCCCGCCCTCGCCGCCGCCCTCGCCGCCCGCGCAGCCGCCGCCGTCGACGCGCGGGTTCCTCAACAGCTTCCTCGGGGGCGGGTCGCGACGGGAGTCGACAGACAGCGGGCTGCACACCGTCGATGCGTGCCCGCCGCACGAAGCGGCTGTCGTCGAGGCGTACAACGTGACGAAGCCTCTCGCCGACCGGCTCTGGCCCGTTTTGGCGGACAAGGACCTCGCGGATGGCTGGACCGGCCTCTCGGTTGCCCTCCTCGCCTCGTGCCTGGACTCCGACGGTGCGTCCATGGGCGTCGAATCGCTCTCCGCCTGGTGGACGGGCCTCTCTCGGCGCAGGGATGACCTTCGGCTGTCGATGGCGCGCACGCTTCGCTCCATCACGCAGACCGAGGGGTTCGGCCGCGCTGTGCTATCCGACGCGGCGCGGTCCGAGCACCAGCGCCTTCTCAAGCTGTGCCTGGGCTTTGTGCGTGAGTCCAAGCGCGTGCTCGAGGACCCGTCCTGCGTAAGCAACTACCCGCTGTGCCTCGAGGTTGTGCAGCTCGTCGCGAGCCTCGCGGCGGCCACGGCTGGCGACGTCCGGTACGATCCCAAGCGCTGGCTTCGACCACTGATGGTGCCCGCATCGCTTCAAAACTCGTGGCCCATCGTGGAGCGCTGCTCGCTGCTCGAGCTTCTCATGCGGTGGGTGCGGTGGCGCGAGGACAAGGCGCTGGCGGCGCTGGCCACCGGCGGAGTAAGGCCGCAGACGCAGCGTTCGACGCCCGCGGTGGGCTCGCTCGAGGAGCAGGCTCTCTTCCGGATCGAGACGGTCTCTGCCCACGCGATCCTCCTCCTCGTGCAGTCGGGCCCGGTCATGGAGCGCGACCGTCTCCTTGCGATCGCAGAGGCGGGGCCGTGGTCGCGGGATCTCGACCTCCTCGGCTGGTATGAGAGCACGCACGCAGAGGAGGGGCACAACACGCTCGCGTGCCTCCTCGGGCACCACTTTGAGCATCTCCTCCCCGCCTTCCTCCATCGCGCCTACTTTTTCGCCGGCTCGTCGCCCCGCCTCTCCACGAGGTACTTTCACGCCATCGTCGATGCGCTTGTCCCGGCCGACGCCGCACTCGACGATGGGCCGGCGGCGGCGTCGGACCGCGACTTTGAGTCCGAGGTGGAGGCCGCCTCTCCGAGCCTGATGCTGTTCGGCATGATCCACCTCGCCTCGACCGACGCGCGCACGCGCTCGCGGGCGTTCGACCTGATCTGCCGCCTGACCGACTCCTTTGGCCCGGCCGAGGGGTTCGAGTGCGATGGCTCTTCGCTCGGAGCGCGTCGGCTCCTCTACGCCGCCGACGAGCCCACGCCGATGCTGCTCTCATCGCATCTCGAGAAGATGCGGCTCGCCGTCGCGGCCCAGTGCCCGGCGCTCTCGCTGCCTCTCGTGCGTGGGGGCGTAGCCCTCCTCACGCAGACTCAGCCGCTCGCCCTGACCGGAGCGCAACAGCTGCTGGTACTACGCACCCTCTCACCGTGGCTGGCCAACTTGCAGCTCGAGCCGCTGCCGTCCAGCCGGCTCTCGGAGTCATCCACCTTCCAGTTCCTGCGCGAAATCGCCATCGTCGGACTCCAGCCGTGGTCGGCTTCCGGCGAGGCTGGGGATGCCTATGGTGCGCTGTGGCACCAGCTGTCGGCACGCCCTGCAGACCGATCGACCGCCGGACAGCCCGCCGCCCCGTCCAACGCTTATGTGATTGCGTCGTTCATGCTCCAAGTCGCCTCGCGGTCGGACAAGGCGGCGACACTCGTGCGGCGGCTCGCAGTCATCGCCTTCGACGCTTCGCCGGCCGAGTTGCTGCCGATGCTGCTCGCGCGCATTGAGGGCGAGCCTCTCGAGGAGTCACCGCCGCCCACCACGCAACCCTGCGCCCCCGGCCCGGGAGGCCTCATCGAGTCGGTGGGCTCTGCAGTGCAGCACGTGTGGAGGCGCCTCTCCACCAGCGCGTCGGCGCAGAGCGCAGCAAGCCCCGCGCCGCCGCCACATGCGCCGCCGGTGGGCCCGGCGCCGCCGCCGCCTCCTCCACCACCGCCTCTGCTGTCGGCAAAACCACCTCCTCTGCTGTCGGCGGGCCCTCCGCCGATGCTATCAGCAGGGCAGCCGGGGGGTCGGGACGACCAGTCCCCAGCCGCGCCCGGGCCACCACTCGACGCGCCGTCTGAGGTGGTCGAAGGCGCCTCCGGTGCGGACCAGGCTGAGGACCCCATCATGGCTGCCGTCGTTGCGCTTTCGGGCAAGCCCTCGAGGGTGCAGCCGCGAACGCTTCGGTTCGCCTCGGCGGCGGCAGCTACTGAGGCGGAGTCGGCGCCGGCCGTGCCCGGGGGGCTGCCCGAGGAGAACGAGGCGGTCCCTGCGCCAGAGGAGGAGGAGGGAGAGGAGGAGCTCCTCGCGAGCACCGAGCAGCTGAGGGCCGCAGCGCTGCTGATGCTCATCGAGCCGCTCCGCCACTCGATGCAGCGGCCGCTCGCGCAATCGGCCGTGTGCGGGGAGATGCCGCGTATCCTCAACCTTGCGCTCCTGCTCATGCACTCGCAGTCCGAGTCGGCCTTGAGCGTCGAGGAGAACCGCTCGCTCCGCCAGCTCTTGCGGGCTATGCTCGAGTCGATCGTCGAGGCCCACCGCCAGTCGGCGGGCCTCGCTCACTTGCCGGTCGGCGTCACGACCAACCAGCTGCCGAGAGAGGTCTTGGCCCTCACCGAGCGGCTCGGCCTGGCGAGCTTCCGCCTGCGCTGGCCGCGCGTGCCAAATGAGGTCAACAACGCGACACCGAGCATCGCAATGGCGATGGAGGCGGTCAACTGCTGCCCGATCAAGGAGGCGCTGTGTGGCATCCTCGCGTGCGTCGAGGGCCTAGGCAGGACCGAAGTGGCCGCCGAGTGGTTCAGCCTCGCAATTAACCGCCTGCGCCAGCCCATGGAGCTCGCCGATCGGTTCAAGGAGCTGTCTCTCGTGCGGCTCTTGCTGCCGCTGCAGCCGGAGCACGTGCGGGTTACGGGTCTGTTCCACCTCGTCCTCGAGTCTGCGCAGACCGCGTTGCTGGAGCTCGAGGGGGCGGCCGCCGCGCGTCAGCACAAGTCGCTCCCGCTCGCGCTGGCGGAGGAGGCGGGAGCGCTCCTCGGCGACATTGCCGCAAGGCTCGCCGCCCGTGGGCAGCTCGTCCAGCAGCCTCTGCTCCCGTGGGCACTAGTTGCGCTGACGGCGTCGCCACACCCATCCATCCACGCCACCGTCTACCCAGCCCTCTGCTTCTGCCTCGACCACGAGCCGCTGCTCGTCGCGATGCGGGCAGGGACGCTCCTGCCGCCGCCCCCGCGAGCCGACTCTGGCGGAGGCGACGCGTTTGCCGGAGGCCTGCTCGCCGCCCTCTTGCGAAACGTGTGCGCCGCGGGCTGCTGGGGTGGAGCGGCAGCTAGCGGGCTGCCAGTTGCGCACAATGGCCCCGCCGTTGCCGAGGCCGCGCGTGGAGCCGCCCTCCAGTCGCTGCGTCTGGCGAGCAGCGTGCAGGCAGCGCTCGTCCTCTCCAGCCCCAAGCGCGAGGTCGCCGAGATGTTGGCAGGCGTGGCCGCCCCCTTGCTCGATTGCTGGGTCATTCAGCTGTGCGAGCTGCACGCGCTGCTGTCTGGCGCGTCGGCCGACACCTTTGCAACTCGCGCCGCCGCGCTCGCCGCCTTTGAGGGCCTCAGCGACGCAGCGGTGGCGGTCGACTCGCTGCGAGGCGACACAGGACCGACGACCACCACGGCCGCCTTGGTGGCGGTGGCGAGCGGCGATTTCGCCCTCGGCGACGGGGACGCGGCCATTCGGTCGCTCGCGACGCCGCTCCTCAAGGCCTTCTTGCCCACTGCTGGCCCGCACCTCGCGCGATTCGCGCGGCGCCTTCTCGCCTCGGGGCCCAAGCACTACGCGGCGCCCGTGCTCCTCCTCTGCACGGTCGCCCTCCGCACCCCGGGGGCGGATTGCGTCGCCGCGTTCAAGCCGATCGTCCAGGGCGTGGCCGGCCTCAGCCTGCCGGCCGTGCCCGACCTCCTCCTTGCCGCTGCAATGGCCGGGACTCGCCCAACCAGACTCGAGGCGGTCATCACGACCGCCCAGTGCGAGGGCCGCGACACGGCCCTCGCGGCAGGCGCTGCGGACACGGGGGCGGAGACGCGAGGCGCGTCTGGGGCCCTGCACGCGCTCGAGCAGGTGCTGGCGCGAGCGTGAAGGGCTGAGTGTTGTCGGCCTGAACTGTGAGCTCGTGGTTCGAGGTGCAGGGCAGCCCCCCCCCCCCCCCCCTTCTCTATGGCGGCGAGGGACTGTGGACACATGGGCAGCAGTGGGCACACAGATGGGGGAGCTTTCGTTAACATCTTCTTTTGTACGGAAAGAATTTTACAACTAAAGGCTCTGGCACACGGAAAGAAAACAAACAGGCCGAACAGGGCGAGAGGGAGGTGTGAGTGAAAAAAAGTGTTACTGCCAGTGCGCCAATCCGTGAATCGCTCAATTTTTTTTGTGGTGTGTTAGAGTTAGTGCCAGTGCGCGCCAGTCCCGAGAGAGAGATTTTTAGCAATACCAAACAACCCTTTTCCTGGCTCACAAGCTAAAGTTTACGCTAAAGATGTTCACGGGCCCCACAGGGAGGCCGCATGGGGAGCCCCGGGTACTCTTTAGCTGTACTCGTCTAGGCAGGGGTTGAATACCAAACAACTCTAACACTCACACATCATTGGATCCCTGTTCACGCGCGCGCGAGACGTGCAGACAGGGTTGCCAGGTGAGAGCGAATGGCGCGGTTCACGCCTCGCACAACAGAGAGAGAGATGCGCTCTGCATTGTGGGACATGAAAGAGAGCGAGTACTTGGGCGAGTAGGCCGTGCGGTCAACGCTGCCGCGCGCGGCTTTGCGCGCGAGGCGGCGCAGCTTGAGACGTGCAGACAGGGTTGCCAGGTGAGAGCGAATGGATGGCGCGGTTCACGCCTCGCACAACAGACAGAGAGAGAGATGGCAGCCCTTGTTGTCAGTCCCGTGCCTAGATCTAGTGTTGTGAGAGGGCGCTGCTGTTAATTCTTTTTTTGGGGGCGCGCCGCCAGGCGCGTCCCCACTTTTGTATCACAGCTGCGAGGGCCAACCAAGGGATTCGGCGCGTCAAGTTAACTTGACCGCTCGTTCGGGCTTTGGGCCGCAGGCCGGCGCGCAGCGCCACGCCGCCAGGCGTCCGCCGGAGGCCCGCCGGAGGCTCTTCCTGCGGCCACATTCTGGCAAGATTCCGCCGCGCTCAGGCGCCCAGAGGATGCGTGCGCTGCGCTCAAACGTCGCGATTTGGCAATAGGCGCTCGAGCCGGCGCACAGCGGACGGGTGCGCCGCGCAGGGGGGGTCGGAGGGGTGCGAGAGGGGGCGTGGGTCAGGCGCGCACCGGCCGGCTCCGGGAGCGGCCGTCACGTCGAGGAGGGGGGCTGTCGGCGGCTCGAGCGGCGAGGCGTGCCACTCTGCTTCGCCGCCGACAGCCCCTCTTCCGAGCCGGCGCGTGGCGACGAGCCGCGGCCAGTGTCGCTGGTTCCTTTGGCGGCGCAGCGTTTATCCCCCCCACCCGCGCCCGCCCGCCCGACCGCCCGCCCGCCCTCAGGCCTTGCCCCTTCGCAGGCGCGGGAGCGCTCGCCGGCGAGCACCTCCTACCTCTCCTCGCCCGGCTGCTCCCTTGCCCCGTCGCCCGCCGCGCCCTCGCCCGGCCTCAAGAGCTTGGCGGCCTTTGTCCGCCAGCTCAAGGCGTGGGACGAGGCGTGCGCCGACGGCCGCTCGTCGTGCTGGTTCGAGACGGAGGGCGACCTCCCGCGGCTGGCCGGGGAGGCGCTGCTGGCCGAGGCGGCCGCGACGGGCGCGAGGCGGATCGCCTTTGACGCCGTCGCGGCGCGTCTCGAGGCGACCGCGGCGCCGCCGCCGCCTCTCGGCACCGCTTTGGCCGCGTGGCCCACGGGATGGGGCATCGAGGAGGGCAACTTCTGCGGGCTGGCGCACTGGGCTGTGGAGGTGTGGCACGCGGCCGGGTCGGTCGACGCGAGCCGGTGGCAGGTCGAGGCTGACGGAGGGCGCCTCTTCTTTGTGCGGGTCGCGGAAAAGGCCGCATAATCGCGCTCTCCGCCGAGGCCCGCCTCGGCGACGGCGCTCGCCGCGCAGCAGCAGGCCAGCAGCAGTAGCAGCAGCAGCAGCAGCACGTGATTCTTGACACATGATTACACTACACAGTCCTCCCTTCGGTTGTCGTTTCGACCCTGTTTTTTCTTCTATCGCAGCGCACTCGCATCTGTGAGCCTAGCGCAGCGCGAACTCGCCGTCTGAGCCTAGCGCAGCGCGAACTCGCTCTGAGCCTAGCGCAGCGCCTCGGAAAACACCATTTTGGCTCGCCAACAAGCCCTCCGCGCCCCCACACCGTTAGGATAATACATTTTTGAAGTTCCGAGAGAGAGAGAGAGTCCGCGCAAGTCCGCGCCCTTGTTGTGCTACTGTGCTCCGAAAAGTTAATTCTTTCGGCATTCCGGCGTCTCCCTTGCCCTTCGCTTCGGAGAAGTTGCATAAGGTTGGCCGTCCTCCGCCACCGTATGGCCGAGTCTTCGAACGTCCGCCACACGGGCTCGAGCGTGTGCTGGAGCGGCGTCAAGGTGACCGCGGGCTCCAAGAAGAACCCAAAGCCGATCCTGAAAGGCGCGGGCGGCGAGGGTTTGAGTGGCTACGTCGAGGGTGGAAAGTTTTGCGCCATCATGGGGCCGAGCGGAGCTGGGAAGACCACGCTCCTCAACGCGCTCGCCGGCCGCCGACTGCCAAACTTTGAGGGCACGGTCCTCGTCGACGGCAAGGAGCCCGATCGGCGCAGGATCGCGTTTGTCATGCAAGAGGACGTGCTCTGCCCGACGCAAACGCCGCGCGAGGCGCTGATGTTCTCTGCGGGCTTGCGGCTCCCGGCCACCGTCTCGCTCGCGGAGAAGCGCAAGCTGGTCGAGGCGACCCTGCGCGAGCTC